TCGGATTTGTTCTTGATTGTCTTGGTCTAACGCATTATCGGCTTCATCAAAACAAAAAATCTGAGCATCTTTTCTTCGTTCAAGAATCTGGTTAAGATTGGCTAATTGTTTTTGCCCGGTAGAACCTCCCTCAATTAAGGTGTCATGAGCACAGTAAGCAATATTATTTTCTCGTCAATGCTTTAAATTAACCTCCTGGTGGAGATTATAATTTTGTTCTTGAAGATCAGTGATGATTATTTGACCCTTGTGGGGTACTAACATTCCTAACAAGAGATATAAAACCGTACTTTTACCAGCGCCATTTTTACCAATTAAGCGATTTACTTTGTCAGGGGTAAGCGTGCGACTATAATTTTTTAAAACCCATTCAGATTGTCCTTGATAGCGGAAATAAACGTTTCGAAACGTAATTGCAGTGATTGGGATTGCTGGATTTATTTTTTTGCCCGCTAAATTATAATTTTCCTCGGGAAGTCTAAGAAAAGTATTAATTCTATCTCGGGAAACAGCATAATCAGCATAATCTCATAGGCAATGAAAGATATCGCCAAAATTATCAAATATACGCCACGAGGCGGACAAGATTTCTCCCTGAAAACTAGTCGCTAAAGAAAGCAAAATAAAGGGGAAAACTTCTACCAAAAAAACACTCGGGAATGCCTTATTTAGTGATTTAGTGCGATTAAATTTGAGACATAAATTTTTATTAGTTTGGGTAAGGCTTTTTTGTTTTGCTTGATATTGTGAACTTAAACCCATCCCTTCAACTAAAATAATTTTTTCTCGCTCCTTATTAATGGTGGTTCATTCTTTATCAGCACTTTTCTTATACGCCTTTTCTTGACGCAAGATTTTTTTAGTAAATAAATAGACTACTAAGTTAATTAAACCTAACCAAAAAAGGAAAAAGCAAATTTCTTTAGTTGACATCCTCGTTTGACCAAAAAAATTATCCCAGTAATAAATTAAGGTGGAAAAAATGGCTAAAAAACTGCAATAAAAATGATTGGGTATATGCTCTCATCCATATCCTAATTCATAAGCATCCTTTTCGATCAAATTGTTTAATTCATCTTTTTTGGCTTTTTTTTGCTCAAAGGGTAAACGCCGAAACTTATCCAAGAGCAGATTTTTAATATGATATCCCCCTAGTACTCTTAACTCTTCTTCTCATAAAGAATTTCAATAATAAATTATCGCAAAAATTAGTGCCAATAATAATCCAAACACCAAAAACTGCCCCTTACTTACCGCTTTGATTCCTAATCGTTCTGTCCCTGGCAATAATTTAGCAAAATTTTCTACCTTTCCAGATATTCGAAAAATATTCGTAATAATTCCGAATAAAATAGTTCAAAGAATTACCTTAAAAGTAGTAAATAAAAAATGTCTAATTACTTTGAACCTAAATTTTTTGAAGAGGGTTCAAAAGCCAATTTTTTTGGTTAAAGATTGAGAGTTAAGTGGAGATTGGTGAGAATTTTTCGTCATTAAGTTTATTAATAAGTTTTATAATTCACAAGAAAAAGTGCCATAATATTATTGTTTTAGTATAATTTTACTTGGTTTTCCTTACTTTTCTCGTGCGTATATTCATTATCTAATTAGAGATATTATAGATTAAAATTCCTAAGTCTAGGAAAAAAAGTATATAAAAATAAATTAAATAGAAACAATAACATATGAAGTCATGAAAAACCAATACTTTATCAAATATCAACATAACTTATGCTCGTTGGTGGCATAAAGAATAAAGAGAATAAGCGAAAGTATAAAATATATGACAACAATAAAGTAAGTTCGCATGCTTACTAATTTGCCTTAAATTAAAGACAGTTGGCTAACTCTATAAAAGTTAGTAAAAATAAATCAAAACATCAAATAAAGCAAATAATTTTTAAAAATATGGTAAACACACGAAATATATTATTAATTGGTAGAACTGGAAACGGAAAATCCACCCTTGCTAATGTAATAAGCGGAACTAAAAAATTTAGGGAGCGTGCTGACAGCGTAAGCGAGACTCGCCGAATTGAAGTGGCAGAATTTGAAGAAAATATAACCCGAGATGGCAGTGAGAAAATAAGATATCGAGTAATTGACACAGTAGGAATAGGAGATACTCGGCTAACTCCGCGGGCGGTTCTTGGAACAATTCAAGAAGCCAAGGAATATTTGGAACAAGGCTTAAGTCAGATTTTATTCATAACTAATGGAAGATTTACAGAGGAGGAAAGAATTGCTTATAAATTGCTAAGGACAGTTATTTTTGATAATGAAGTATCGAGATACACAACTATCATACGAACTAATTTTCCTGGATTTGAAAATGAAGAAGATTGCAGGAGAGACACTCAAGCACTAAAAAATGAGAATAGAGAATTGCTAGATATAGTTAACTCAGCGAAAATTATTTATGTTGATAACCCGCCAATAACTAGTGGTAATGCTCGTCGAAATGCGGTAAATGAAGAAACCAGAGCAGTTTCAAGAGAAATATTATTAACTCTGCTAGGAACTTTTAGGGGAAATTATCGACCAGAAAATCTCATCCAAATGAATGAACGAATTAACAATTACAAGACTGAAAAGGAAAAATTAGAAGAAGAGTTGAAAGAAAAGGATAAAATGATGAAAGAACAAGGAGAAAAACTTCAAGAGCAAATAAATAACCTTAGCAACCAACAAACCGCAAAGATGAAAGAAATTAGTGATGAGTGCGATAAGAAAATACGGGAAGCCAAGGAGGAGGCCGATAAAAGGATAAGAGAAGCCCAAAATCAAGGTAATTTAAGTGAAAAATTGTTAGAAATGATAGAAAAGAATCGAGCCGATGCGGAAGAAAAGATGCTCAGATTTTTTGTTTTGATGAAGCCGATAATGCGTTAGACCAAGACAATCAAGAACAAATCCGA